ACCACATTGGTCAAAATGACTGTATTTAATTTGTAACTTATTATAATATTAATAATTAATCAAATCTTTTAATTATCTCTTAAAATCATATCTAAAAGTCACTGTGATATTATTATTACTTCGAAAGAAATGATTTTCCTGATTAAAAAGATAAGGTGTGTTTTTTTTTATTTTGCATAAGTTAGGGTAACCCCTAAGCAAATCCGTTTACCTTAGGGAATTTACTGGGTTCGACAACCTTGGTAACCACTCCAAGTTTCTCAATTCAGGTGTCCTAACTTCTGTCGTTGATATAAGTCTGCTAATTCTGGAGGAGGAATTGGCTATGTACCTTCTTCTATCCTAAATAAAATTTAAACACACTACTAACAATGTCTTTTATATAACAGGTGACTGTAGAATGATTACATTATGCAAAAATATTGAAATGTGAAGTAACTTCAGTATCTGCCGAAAAAGAAAATTTAGTACCTGCTAATTCTTCCCATTCACAAAATATCATTTTATCAATTTGAACTTGATATTAAGTTTAATATTTATCCATTTTATGAATATGATGAAGAAGAAATTTCAAATAAAATTATTAAGAAAATCCAGGAAATTAGGCCGTATTAGTCTAGATCTAGATTAACCTTTTATTTGTAATAATATACGTTAACTAATACAATAAACGAAAAGAAGAAAATTTATACAGACTTTATCCAAATTTTTTGTAAAACTCTAAGAGTACTCCAAGAGTCTAAACATGATTAATTGCATAAGTAACAATTCAGTCGATACTTATTTCTTTATTTAGAAAATGCTACTATGATAGAGATTGAATAAGAAGCTTCTCATACTGCTTTATGATTGTTCGTAATCAGTTAAATCTCCTGAAATTTCAAATGATTTATGTGACCGAAATCCTTAACCGGGTGAGAACACTAATCAAAAAGAAATTATAATAGAATATATCATATTTTTAAAATTATTAAGTATGACACACATTTAATTAAAATGTATTTTATTATCTAAAATCTTTTTCATGATGCCGACTACTGATTGGTTTTAACAGAATCATATAATTAAAGCAAAAAGCCAACATCGTTGTTGAAATAGTTTTAACTTGTAAAATCAGCTTTTTTTATATATTAACGAACATTACTAACTGTTGTTTTTTCTCTTTGTCTTCTCTTCTCTTTTCTTTTCCTTAGGTCTTCTTTTTTTTTTCGATTAAGTAATCTTAAACATGGTTGACGATAAGTAACTCATAAGATGAAACTAATAAATCAAGAATATCTTCACCCGATAGGTCTTCTCTTTTCTTTAGGTCTTTTTTTCTTTAGTCTTCTTTTGCTTTTCGATTATGGTTGAATAATTGTAACTCATCAGCGAGTATATCTTCACCCGATAGATCTTTTACATCTTTTTTTAGGTATGTAGGTTGAGAGTGTGGATTATGTATGGGTGGTGGTGTCCTCACTCTTCTCTTATTTCCCCTCTTTCCCTTTCCCTTATTCCTTGCTCTTTCCTCTTCCCCTCTCTCCTTTCCCCCCCTGATCACACCTCAACGTTGGTGTCAGGTGACAAGAAGATTTTTAAAAGACTTGGCTAAGTCAGCAAAAAATATTAACGCTTTGCACTTTTATTAAATATATATATAACTATAAATTAAAAATAAAACTTTTATTTAATTTCTCATCTATAATTAATTAATTAGTAGATCTAAAATTTATCAAGATTTCCTTAAATGAGACAAATGCATATTGTAACTAAAAAATTCCATACCTCGACTATATATACATATATATATACCTCAAATATTCGATGAAAAGGTTGCTTAAGGAAACGTGTTTATTTGTTTATTTTTTATACATATATATATATACCTGATTGCTGAAGGAAGCGTGTTTACTTTTTTCTTACGATGGGAAAGGTAAAGGACAAGAAAAGAAAGGGAGAAAGGACGTGGACGAGATAGAGAGAAAGGGCGAAGAGAAAGTGCGTACAAAAGTTAAAATTTTAACTTTAATTAAACATGATAGGTCATTTTATACTTTATTATAGCTTTTAACAATTGTTAACAACTAGCAAAACTAAAAAATAATAAATAGTTATTGGATGGAAGAGTAGCTATGTCGGTATATAGCCCCACATCCAATAATGGTGTTATTGTTCTGACGTTTTTGATCAAAATAACATCATAAATAAACTTTATTTAACTTTCTATAAATTTCATTTTTATGCTATTTTTAATCCACTTTATTAGCTTTATTTAAACTTTTCCTACAAAATATTCGTTCATTTACACCATATTTTTTACTCCATTTTATTATATCAATAATATATATCAGTCTATGAAAATCTTGCATGATCCTATTGGCTGAACGATAATAAATGTTAAAAAAACAACTTTACCATTTTGGTCTCAGTTAAGTCGGTATCACTAATAATAATTAAATGAAAAAACTTATAATGTATCAATGAAATCATAATAATAATTATATATACTGTATATGTATTTAATAGATCTAAATTTTTTTTATATAATTTTCCTCATAATTAATTTCCGACGCTATACATACATATATTCTTAAATGACAAATTTAATATAATTTGCAAATATTACAATTAGTGTAATTTTTTATAATTAATATATTCAATCGGAAGTCCGTGTTTTCATTTTTTTTTTTGTCCCTTAATAAATTTATCCGAATTTTCCGTAATAGTACAAATGAAATAAATTTATCCTTCGTTGTTATCAATAAGTTAGTTATTGTACGAATGTACCAATCAAGACATACTAAATAGCCATCAATCACATGAATTAATTATATCCAATCAAATGTGCCACACGTGACTAATTAACGTGATCGAGTTTAGCAAGAAAAAAAATAACATTTAATTGATTTTGATCTCTTTAACGTTGCTGTTTCCGTAGGCCATTAAAATTTTCAATTTAAAATTCGTACACTTAAGATTTGAATGAAGCTATCATCCTATGTCACATGGACCTTATAAAGCAGCAGATTCACTGTAAAAATTTTTTACATTTATATGATAACATTCCTAGATCACGAATTGTAAAGAAACTATTCTTAGAAGAAAGATACAAAAATAATAAAATCAGCCTAATTATTGCTATTTTCAAAAAGGCGTTACCAGTTGTATATGAGAATCAGAAGTTAATCATCAAGCTTTTATATAAAGATAAGAAAAATTTTTTTTTTTGCCCGTTAAATTTGATATAGCAGTTTTATTTTTCCCTGTAGAATTCGTACTTAATTTTATAATGTAATTCAAACAATTCCTTGTCAATATGATTCATTCTAAAAGGAATAAGGATGTTTTTTAGGGTCGGAATTACAATATTGTCAGCCAGTATCTAAAGAGACAATAAAACTCTGGCTGGTATTATCCTAAAGGGAAAGAACTAAATCTTAATACCTATTAATAAATGGTGATGGGGATTATCGAAGACCCATACGGTAATACTGCGGTGACCAATAGGAATTAATATTACTAATACTGATTTCAATATTGGATGTCTCATAAAAATATCTGTTCAGTAAAATCCCGCATATTCCTTCCTAATCGACCGAACAATAACATCGCATTTGATAAGTTGATCATTCCGATCAAATCTCAACAAATCCTCTTATCGAATTACAATAATGAATATCGCAAATTTTTTACGAGTTGATAGTAAAAGAAATTTTATGCGTTAATTTATGTATGTCGTATTATGTATATATAGTCCACTCGCTTTACAACGAATTTCGATTTAACGAATTTCTTAATATAGCGAACCTTCGGTGTTATATCAATTTTATCATAAAAAATTCTTGTTATACCGAAGATTACTAGTAAAATTCTGTATACCGTTTAACGAAGTAACGAATTTTTGTTCATAACGAATTTTTATCGAAGATATATTGTGCGACAACTGTGATGCGTTATCGGCGGTTATCCATAATACAAGTATTATAAGTATTATACAACTTACCGCAATATATAAAATTTTCCGAGTTAACCGAATTTCATGTTAACGAATTTTCTTATAACGAAGGCCTGATTTGCTAAACCATCACTTCCGTTATAAAGCGAGTAGACTGTATACCTCCTAAAACATCGTCCGAATAGGACTTTAATTTGTATTAGTAAACGTGAAAACCATGTAGCACTATAACGGTATAACCAATAGAATTTTGGTATTTTTTCATGTGATAATTTTAACGCAAATATTCGTTATTAAGGCATAAAGTGTATCTTTCTTATCAGATTATGCCGAAATGTTTAAACAAAGAATTGAGTTTGTACGACTTTTTAATACAGGTCCCTCATGTAAAATCTTATCATTCCACGCGTGTAACAGTGTAATTCGCCGTATCATAAGTTGTGATCACCCAAGAGATTTTTGATTCATAGTTATTTTAGGACAAGTAATATTGAAGGAAACGTAATGTTTCGCTTATTCTCGTAATAAATTTATTAAATAATCGAATGATCGAATAAGCGAAATGTGACGTTACAGTCCTAAAAAGATATTTACTTTATATTTTTTTCTGAAAAGATCAAATACTTTGTTCCGAACATTGGTTTTTTTTTATAACAAGATTATAGGAATTTTTATTACATGATAAAAAAAAGGAAAAAAAAAATCATGAAAATACAAAAAAAAACTATTGATCTTCTAAAATTTCTAATTAATTCATCAATCAACAATTAATTCCAATAATAATTATGTACAGATATGTAAAGCATCGATAATTAATTTAAAAAATCAAAATTATTAACGAAAAAAAAAAAAAAAAAAAAAATATTTTTAGTAATCAATACTAAAAATATATTACATATATATATATTACCCGTAATTAATACAATCTCAATTATTAACGCGATTAACGCGAACTCAAAAGTAGAAAGAAAAAAAAAGGAAAAAAAAAGAAAAAAAAAAAATATTTTATTAGTAATCTTATACTAAAAAAATATATATTTATTTTTTTTTCTTTTCCCCCCAAAAAAAGGTTAAATCCAAATTTAAAACCAGAATTCCGAATCCTTCAATAAAGGAGAACGAATTTCCAATATTCCTTCTTCAATATACTTTGTTAGAGAATTCATATCATCCCAATCATCATAATAATCACATGATTTACTAACAAAATCAAGTTCGGAGTTTGAATCTTTAAACCTTTCATGATGATAAAAATCCAAATCATTGAAATTTCTTTGATAACCATATTGAGAATCCGAATAATCTGAACCTTCATAATCAGAATCAAAATTATCTACATCAAAAGAATCACAATCATCACTTCTTTTAAGACGACCTATAATACCAATATAGATAACTCTAAAAGGAGCGACAGATTGTCGTTGTTTCAAAAAGTTTTCCAAAGTACATTTTAATAATTCCCAATCACCTTCTATTATGAAATTAAATATATTACGTGGAGCATATTCTCCAAGTATGTTGAGAACGTCATAAGTATCACACGCATCAAATTTTTCCTCAACGAAATTAAGACGAAGATTAACTAATTTTTTGCAACGTTTACAGAAATTCATTAATTGTGATTGATTTGCTGGATCGATAGAACTTTGGAATGAGATTATATTTGGACAATTATTTGCCACAGCTTCTAATATTAAACCAGATTGTTCATTATCAACATTATTTTCTATTTCTAATTTAATATCAGTTAATTTCCCACCATTGTGTCTAATAAATTTTGATATTTTACTTAAATCTAATGAAGTTGCTTTGATATATAATTTTGTAAGTTTTCTAAATTTATACATTGTTAACTTTTCTTCTATATCATGAGGCATATCATCAACGAAACATAAAGATAATTCTTCTAAATTTTCACAATTTCGAAAAGTGTCGAATGGAACGCCTTGAAAACCAAAAATCCTTAATTTAGTTAAAGATTTAACTTGTTTTTCTAACGCTTTACCAATTTCTTTACATTCATATTGTAAATCATCATCATCTTTATCATTACAAATAAATTCTACACGACGTAAAGATTGTTGAGTTTTAATGAATTCTGATAAACCATTACAACCATCAAAATATTCTGGTGCGGATTGAATTTTAAGGGTATCCAAATTTGTTATTAATTGAGAAAATACGAAAAAAAGTTGATCGGTCGTAAAACCTGCCGAACATTCAAATTCTCGAATATTTGAAAATAAATTATTAGGAGTAGTAAGTAAATAAGTGAAATTAAATACTGGTAATTGCTCAGAATCCATATCCATTAAATCTTCAACGCAACGAATTTTTGTGATATGAGGACACTTATTAACGATAACTCTATACATTTCTTGTTCCATAAGATAACATTGAAATCTAGTTTTACCACTATGTTTTCCACTACGGAATAACCAAAATGATACAGCTAAACTAAATCTTACTATATCAAAAGTATTAATAAATTCTAAATAATTAAACATAGGTTTTTTGGTATTACTTTTTGGTAATTTTACTCCATTTCGAATTAATAAAGAACGTGATTCTTCAGGTAATTGGTTAATAAATGCACATAATAATCCTAATGCTTGTTCCCTTTCTTCTGTTTCGGTTTCAACATTATTATCATATAGACTTAATGCATCCGTCTTCTTTATTAGCATCGCCAAAGGATCTTTCCATAGAATTTGCACGGCACTTTCACACCACATTCTATTAACCAACATACAATGATATAATGAGTTATTATCATCAGGAAAGCACTTAAAAATTTCTCCAAGACAATCCGAGATTAGACCGATTGTCATTTTGATGTTATATTTAGTTTATAATATTTATTATTATTAAAAGAAAAACTTTTTTTTTTTTTTTTTTCACAAGAGACGCTTCAATCGGGATATGGAGTTAAGTTATTTTTTGTATTACATGTAAATTTTCACACATTACATTACTTGTTAAAAGTAGCACTAAACTGCAAATAAAATTATACATATATATTTTTTTTTTACTAAATTTATAATTATATCCCCTTTTTTCTTTTCCATTTTGATATTTTCTTTGTCTGTTTTAGGGAAGAAGGTCATATAAAAATTTTGAAAAAAACTGCAAGAATCAAGTTTCTATTGGGAGAACTTTACCGTATATAAGCGGTAAATATTGTAAACATTCACTTTATTAATATAATTGTGTTCATCAACTAAATTTACATTTAACTTGTGTAACCTGGATAACTAATTTAAGATTAAATTAAATAATAAATATTGCAAAATGAGAGTAATAAAGATGCAAGATGCAACCCAAAAGTGTTACAAAGATGAAAAAACTTTATCTCATCAAAATTTTCACATGTTCGAATGTAGGTTCCATTGTTAAATAAAACATTTTTTATCGTATTACCGCAGCATTTAAAACTTTGAAACCTTTTTTTTTTTTTTTTGGATTAATTAGAGAAAATTTCCAAGAATTTTTTTCAAAAATTTCAATAAATGATGTCAAAAAAAATAATTGAATATTGACATATGCAAATTGGCTGAATTACTTTCTATGAGCCCAAAATGTTATTCATTTTAAAATATGCACAATATACATTTCTTTTTTTTTCCCCTCATCCCCCTCATCCCCCTCATCAAAAGATAAAAAAATGAAAAAAAGTATTGATAGATAAACCGGTAAATGTTTGATGTTTGTCTTCAAAGGGATAATGTTTTTGGTTAAATTGACTCATAGTAAAAAAAAGGAGTTTATCAAAATTTGTGTAATCAGTTCGTGTTGCAATATAAATACTACATCATAAATTGATGATCATGTACCGTGTGTGCATATTTTTAAAATTAACAAAAAAATAACAGGAATTTTAAGTTTAAATTTCAAATAATTTTGATAGCTATTACACGTGATTTAATAAAAAACTTGAAATTTGTAACACTCTAATATTTCAAGAAATTCCGGATTATCTGCAAACTTAAATCCAATAAAATTCTTCAACTCTAAAATTAGAAAATTCTAAATTTGATACGAAAAACTTGATGAATAGTAACAATTATATTTGCAGTATTAAATAATTCAAAATTAACCGGTTAACTGGCTATACTTAATTCCGGCTTAGAATTTGTCTATATTTCGTCGTCAATTCCAACTTTCGAACATTATTAACTTATTATAAGTTTATATATTTATTATAAGCAAGTTTTGAATGTCAAAAAGTATCGTGGCGTGATTAACCACAGATGATTTACGTTAATTGAATTTTATTTATATAATTTTATTTTTGTTCGATCTAATAATGTAATAATTATTAAATATTATATGAATTTTCTTTTAAAGTATAATTATTAAAAATATTTTCGATAAAAAAATTTCTTTTGAAAAATAATTTGCAGAGATTTAGGAACTTATTAAAAAAAAAAAATAATTATTATAACATATCCAGAATATTTGTATAACTAATAATAAAAGGAACGGAAGAAATTTTTTGTTGGACGTGTCACATACACTCATACAGTATCAAGTATATAAAGTATTTATTAATCACAATCAAAAAATTCAGTAGACTTTTTACTTATATGGAGCTGTTAGAATTGTTTATTGGGAACAGTTAAATTGGGATTTCAGAATTAAACCTTATTCAAATTATATAATCATTTTTTGAATATCGTAATACTTGTAAAATTAAGCATTCACAACAATTCTGTTTTTTAATAATCAATAAAATATTATTCAATATATAAATTAGACTTTCATACTACAGTCAAACCTTTATATAACGATATGTCGGGACATATATGAAATATCGTTATATCAAAGTTATACCGATATTTATATGTCCTCACATATAGTGGAAAATAAAATTTTATCGGTATATCAAGTTTTTAATAGTATATCGGTATATCGAATATCGGTATATCGAGGTTATACTGTATTGCCAATATGATATGTACTACTCGGTTTTTAAATCAGATATTTTACAATCCACATACTACACGCAGTGTTATTAGCGAATTTAATCGAGCTAACCGTATACAATCATTGATTGGTTCGAATCAATACTCGAGCATTGTATGTTGGACTCATAAAAAAAAATAGAGTAGCGAAAAATTATCAGAACACGTGATATTTGGCCAATAAAATGCATTTCACGTGTTAATTTTTTTACGATGTCAAGTATTTTAGTTTTCTCCAAACATTATTTACAAAGTTACAAAGCCTTTTTTTTTACATTAACTAGTAAGTTATTTTGCAATTTGAACTTTAATAAGTAGTTTATCTATCTTGAGGTCTTGAGGTCTGATTTTTTTTTTTTTAGGAATTTTATTATTAATGCAAGAAATGGCCTCGTAAGTCGTAACCTTGTTAATGAAATCGTATCCTTAATCTTTATATGCTTTTTTTCTCAAAATGCGGAAACGTTAAAGCTGCAAATCTAATTGAACATGAAATATAAAATATATATAATGGGTAATCAAAATCATGTCGTATTAATACTTTGCTAAATTAAAATCATTTACATTATCATTATTACATTATAGAAATTAATTGATATTATCGTCATTATATTAATTTGTATATATTTGCATTATTGTAATATTAAAATTTTAACTTATATATATTGTTGTCATATTTATAAAAAAAATCTCAATTAATAATTTTTTTTAAATAACTTAACATACTTTTTGTTGACCACGCACCCCAACGTGTTATCTGTTATGGTATTTTCAGTACGATCTATGATGTTTTTGCAGGCATTAGTTAAATCCTAGACTCATTCTCAGGTCAACATCTGAAAAAAAAAGATGTATTTGTAAAAAGAAAAAAAGAAAATTATAATTACGTGTAGCTATACAGTAGCACTTAAGGTACTCAAAAATAGGGATGGCAACGGTCACGGTCATTAACTGGTTATGACCGGTCATGACCATGACCGATATCGGTCGGTCAAAGACCTCTGACCGACCATGACCAACCGTTGCCATCCCTACTCAAAAACAGTGATGTGGCAGTTACAAGTCATTGGATGGGACAGTCC